AAGTTTTACAATGGTCGTTGTAAAACCTCATACCCATACCATTATTTATGACTGATACAACTTTGTCTTGCTATGACTGATCGTAAAATATCTAATTATTGAAAACTTCCAAGATTCAGTGGCGATATCTGGTTTCGAACCAGCAACCCATCGCTTTCTAGCTTGGCGGTTTTATCCACTACGCTACGAAGGATCGCTGTGAGGAATGAGATTGTTGGTCAGTATGAACCATGTGTTTCTCACCACGACAGGCACTTACTGCGGGCAGCGCCGCGTGCAGGACAATTAGCGCGTGCAGAGCACGAGCATTAGCGGCGTCTTGAGGGCAAGGTGTTGGCTGCCAGTGGCATCCCAGTTGACACCGGCTGTTCCATCATTTGCGGGCTGTTCCATCAATGTTGTTCTACTCAGTACATGCACAAATTGAAATTAAGTGTTGTCTTAGATGGTTTATAAGTTAGATAAAACACTCCTCCTCGGTTTTGGTTGAGATTGTAAAACCTCAGTGTCAGAAATCCCTACTACGCGTGCCCTCGGGTTTCCTTCCCCTGAGTTTTACAATAATAACAAAAACCTCGGAGTCGTGTTTTATCCTACACGTACTAACATAACAACAAGTAGAAACAAACACATCAACAAGAGTAACACACTACATGCATCAATATCAGTCCAGGTGTCACAGTGTATCACACATAATTAGCACAGGTGTTAGCACACATCAATATCTATCAACGAGTCCAGATATTGACATAACCTTCTGCTGAACGTTATCAAGATCAGATAAGCGCTACGTTTAATACTGTTATCAGCTGGGATTTGCAGATCAATAAGTCAATCTTTAACACGCGTCTACGGTCTTTACCTTGTAGATTTCATGACAATATTTCAAACCCACCGACAGCTGTGATAAGAGTCTATGTCATCTGTGTAAACATTTTTCCATGATCATGAAAACAGGTCATACATCGTGGAGGTGATATAGCCATAATGGTCTGTTTAGAATTGATAATAAAACACAAAAACATGGCTGAAGAAAACTAAGATGCCTTGAAAAAACACCACTGCATATTTTTAGGATAACATCATTTCCTAATGGACATGAGAAGAACATAAATGTTCATGCAAAGTGAGTGAGTGAGTTTAGTTTTATGCCACTCGTAGCACTATTCCAGCAATATCACGGCAGGCGACACCAGAAATGGACTTCACACATTAATTGTACCCATGTGGAAAATCGACCCTGGGTCTTCGGCCTCACCCCACCACCCTTGTTCATGCAAAGACGTAAATAGAATTGTATTTATGTGTTTGGTTCATGTGTAAAACAATTTCAGATTCAGAAAAATTCACATTTTACAGATTTTAATGGAAAATATAATATGAACAAATAACTTTGTTTTGATACAAATAAATCCATAATTTTAATTTCACATAAAATAGTATTCACACCTTGAATCAAAATTTGATTCATAATGACTAAAAGAACCTGAAATAATATTCACCTCAAACACAATATTATGTAAGAACCAAATTCTGAACTGGTTTAGAAGTTTGTAAACATTTTTTAGCATTGTCATTTGTTATACAATGTAACAAAACAAGGTGTCATCAATTGTTCAATATAGAGTAAAATAGAAGAGAAATGTTCTGTGAGGTATGGTATTCTGAATCGGCACATGATTTATGCGAGACCGTTTGTGAGCATATTTGTGCCATGTGTTCATCTTGTGACGAGATTATCATATTTATTCAGCAGTAAAATCAACACTACACTAACTCTCCAAGACAGGTGTATCAACTCCGGAAGGGTTCGGAAAGAGATCATGTCAAATATTTGACAAATATTTAGGCATTAGGGACATATTTCAAGCAGGTATGTTGCAACAAAACACCCAAGAAACTGACGATGGCAAACATAACGTCTTGTTGCCATGGGGCGGTGGGGTAGCTTAGTGGTTGAAGCGTTGGCTCGTCACACCGAAGACCCGGGTTCGAATCCCCACATGGGTACAATGTGTGAAGCCCATTTCTGGTGTCCCCCACCGTGATGTTGCTGGAATATTGCTAAAAGTGGCGTAAAACCAAACTCAGTCAGTCAGTCTTGCTGTCATGGAAACATTTTTCATTTGTATAAAATATTAAACTAATATTACTTTAAAGTAACGCATCAGTAAATAATTTCTGATGCTGTACGTATTGATGGATTCGTCATTTTCTAGCATTGTTTATCTTCAACTTGACATCACTTGACTTGTACACAACAATGTATAGTGAGAGAGTATGTACAGTGAGTGAGTGAGTGAGTGAAAGAAGGCTAGTGAGTGAAGGTAAGTGAGTAGTGTGGGTGGGTAAGTGAGTGAGTGGGGTTTAACCCTGATTTTAACAGTATTGCTGGTTTTTATATAGAAATAACAGCTTTAAAAGAGTTGAATGACTTAACACACAGTAATATACCCCATCTAGCTATGTGGTTACAATGTACAGATATGTTCACACAGACAACTAGGACAGAAATTAGTCTGACTACGGTACAAGAACTATGGGTTGTCTTAATATTTTGCTCCAGCATTTACTGTGTGTTGGCGAGTGAGTGAGTGAGTGAGCGAGTGAGCGAAGAAATTTAATGTCACATCAGCCATATCATGACCATGTCTTGGTAAAGAATTCTTAATGAACTGGAATGGTTTCAGTGGTACTGTAGAGCTCTTTGGAACCATAGCAGGCCAGATCGAGGACAGCATCACCCTTAATTTTCTGTGAGAACTCTCAGACGCCAAAATTGTAATTACATTTTTCACTGCCTCTTGAGTCAAACCAGGCACCAAAAACGTGTCGATGTCACTCTAAAAGTCTCCATTACCATTTATACAACAGGAAAAATACTGTGTGGAATCATTACAAGATGAACCTTACAACTGAACCTGTCCATGAATGAATTAAATCATCCAGAATATTACTGAGAATTCAAGTAACTATTAACAATAAGCCTGTTTATACCATGCAGTTATTCATAAAAATAAAAAATAAATAATTATATCATTGTCTGTTGTTTGGAAATATTCCAACTGGGAGACAAACATGGGGTACTGTGGGTCGACTGCTTCTAAATTCCCATAAGGAGACAAACATGGGACTCTGTGGAACTATACTGCTTCTAAATTCCCATAAGGAGACAAGCATGGGACTCTGTGGATCTATACTGCTTCTAAATTCCCAAGGGAAGGGGAGACAAGCATGGGACTCTGTGGATCTATACTGCTTCTAAATTCCGATAAGGAGACAAGCATGGGACTCTGTGGATCTATACTGCTTCTAAATTCCCATAAGGAGACAAGCATGGGACTCTGTGGAACTATACTGCTTCTAAATTCCCATAAGGAGACAATCATGGGACTCTGTGGATCTATACTGCTTCTAAATTCCCATAAGGAGACAAGCATGGGACTCTGTGGATCTATACTGCTTCTAAATTCCCATAAGGAGACAATCATGGGACTCTGTGGATCTATACTGCTTCTAAATTCCCATAAGGAGACAATCATGGGACTCTGTGGATCTATACTGCTTCTAAATTCCCACAAGGAGACAAGCATGGGACTCTACTGGGAGACAAGCACTATACTGCTTCTAAATTCCCATAAGGAGACAATCATGGGACTCTGTGGATCTATACTGCTTCTAAATTCCCATAAGGAGACAATCATGGGACTCTGTGGATCTATACTGCTTCTAAATTCCCATAAGGAGACAATCATGGGACTCTGTGGATCTATACTGCTTCTAAATTCCCACAAGGAGACAAGCATGGGACTCTGTGGATCTATACTGCTTCTAAATTCCCATAAGGAGACAATCATGGGACTCTGTGGATCTATACTGCTTCTAAATTCCTCTAAGGAGACAAGCATGGGACTCTGTTGATCTATACTGCTTCTAAATTCCCACAAGGAGACAAGCATGGGACTCTGTGGATCTATACTGCTTCTAAATTCCCACAAGGAGACAATCATGGGACTCTGTGGAACTATACTGCTTCTAAATTCCCATAAGGAGACAAGCATGGGACTCTGTGGAACTATACTGCTTCTAAATTCCCATAAGGAGACAAGCATGGGACTCTGTGGATCTATACTGCTTCTAAATTCCCACAAGGAGACAATCATGGGACTCTGTTGATCTATACTGCTTCTAAATTCCCACAAGGAGACAAGCATGGGGTACTGTGGGTCGACTGCTTCTAAATTATCATAAGGAGACAATCATGGGACTCTGTGGATCTATACTGCTTCTAAATTCCTATAAGGAGACAAGCATGGGGTACTGTGGATCGACTGCTTCTAAATTCCCACAAGGAGACAAGCATGGTGTACTGTAGTCTGTCTCACAGTCCCTGAACCACATTATATTTCCCTACTGCCAAGCCTCTCTGCAGAGCTAGAGCCCTAAATATAGCAAGTCTAGATTTCCTCAGGTTCAGGCTCTGGTCTCCCTTTTCAATATAAATGGGCTTGTTTGTTACTATCAAAATTATATATATTCAGAGACTAAGCCTTAGTCTAGGTGTACTGTAGATCTATACTGCTTCTAAATTCCCATTAGGAGACAAGCATGGGGTACTGTGGATCTATACTGCTTCTAAATTCCCACTAGGATACAAGTATGGGACTCTGTTGATCTATTATACCTAAAAATTCCCACTGGGAAACAAGTACAAGATACTGTAGATCTATCCTGTAAAAACTTCCAACTAGGAGACAAGTGCAACATGGATCTATACTGTTAGAAATTCCCACTGGGAAACAAGTACAGGACACTTTGAACCTGTCCTAACTCTGAATTCCCACTGAAAGACAAGCACAAGGTGCTGTGGAACTTGCATCCCAAGGACATATATCACTTGTTTGTTATTTAACATCGAATTCAGCAATATTCCAGCTAAATGGTTGTTCAAGGATGGATATCAAGAACCGACCTCACCAATGCAGTAAAAGGCGACTTACCTGGATCACCTGGGTTAAATGAATGTGGTGTAACTTTTTGTTTATCCATACGAACAACGCCAACATCCACAGGGGGTTTGACGTTACTGTCTTCTTTGTTTCCAGGAAATTTCAAAGAGTCTTTATCACTCTCATGAATTTTCCTATCGTGACCTAATCGTTCGCCGTCTATATGATCTTTGTTAACTTCATTTGGATGAAAATCGGGTGGCGGGTGCAACGGTTTGTCCACCGACCCATCTCTCCTGTCTCGGGGTACTTTATCCTCACCGTCCACAGATGCCCACCTGCCTGGGCCACTGTACAACATCACCGACAACAACCACAACACTGGCACCATCAACATAGCCTTGATCAACAACCCACGCCGACGTCGTAGAAAACTGGCCATTTTCAATGTGTATGTTTTTTGGACACTATCACAGATATTCTTCTGGGATTTCAACAGATTCTGATTGGTATGGAATTCCGAATACTTCCAACTGATTCAATTTTTTGTGAAACCTTTTGTTAGCTCAGCATTCTTGGAATAGCAAATCTGGAAAATAAAAGACAAAATTTAGATAAAAATCAACTTTAATTACATATAACAGTGTTCATGGGACATGATAAATAACTAGGTAAATATTTGTTCACAACTCTTTCAGCCATGAATGTAATGAAACATACGTTATATTTGGGTATTACATTTTCTCAGTAAACTACCAAGTCTAGATCTGTTGTTAGGTTGAGCCCCATCCAGGATTTAAACCCACACGCTCAGAGTCAGGCACCTAATCGCTAGCACACAATGTATGTAATGCCGTTTTGCAGTTTAACATGGCTACCCACTCAGACAAGGCAACAATAAGTACTATCTTTTAAAAAATAGAGGATACCATTTTTATTAAACGAGTTAATGATTTGGTATCAAACGAGCGAAAGAGAGTTTGATGCTAAATCTTTCACGAGTTTAATAAAAATGGTATTTCATGGAAGCGAGTTTAGTATTCTGTTACTCTCCAACATAAACTGATAGAAACTGCCTACGAAGTGTGAAGACTCTCACCTTTCAAAGTCAAGCAAGGTCTAATATCATTGTGCCAGAGTTATTAGCATTGTGACGTCATAACTGTAAGCCATTATGACGTCATACGTCTAGCGGTATTACACTAGTGTAATATTGTCGTAAAAACATTACACTGCAGTATCTTCCACGGGCGAGTAATAACTACCAGTATCCTGCCACAAGGAATCGAACCATCAACCTTTCACTCTCCAGACTTGCACGCTTTATCCACTAGATTTAGGACGTGGTCCTCAGTGAATCTAATTATGATAAAAAACACTTATGAATAACATATTATAAAAAGACACTGTCCCAGATCTACTTGTAGTAAAGTATTCCAATAAAGTTCGAATAAGTCTCAGCATGTCCTCAATATTCTCTTACTACCGAAGGGGTGGTAGGGTAGCCTAGTGGTTAAAGCGTTCGCTCGGCAAAATGAAGACCCGGGTTCGATGCCCTACATGGGAATAATGTGTGAAGCCCATTTCTGACGTCCCCTGCTGTGATAATGCTGGAATAATGCCAAACACTGTGTAAAAAACTACAGTCACTCACTCACCGAGTCAGACCACCTAAACTCACTCTTACTACCTAGTCTGTCATACAGTGGGAGTGGTGGGGTAGCCTAGTGGTTAAAGCGTTCACTTGTCAAAATGAAAACTCGGGTTCGATTCCTCACATGGGTACAACGTGTGATGCCCATTTCTGATGTCCCCCACTGTGACATTGCTGGGATATTGCTAAAGGCGGCATAAAGCCATACTCACTCACTCACTCTCATACAGAACATGAGTAAGTGAGTGAGTGAGTGAGTTTAGTTTTATGCTGCACTCAGCAATATTCCAACTATATCGCGGTGGTCTGTAAATAATCGAGTCTGGACCAGACAATCCAGTGATCAACAGCATGAGCATCAATCTGCGCATATGGGAACTGATGACATGTGTCAACCAAGTCAGCGAGCCTGACCACCCGATCCCGTTAGTGGCCTCTTATGACAAGCATGGGTTGCTGTAGATCAATATTCTAACCCAGATCTTCACAGGTCACAGAACATGAAAGAAATATATCTATAACAAGTCTCGAATACTGCAGATTCTAAAAAAGAAGAGTTTTTTGGTTCTTTAATATCATACCCTATCAGCATAATTTAACAACTTTTTTCTGTGAAATATTTTCTTTTCAGTCTCGTCACTCCCTTTTATATGTAAATACACACTTTTGAAGTCGGCTTCCACAGAAGATTAACACAATGAACAAAACATGTAAATCACAAAATTAATGTAAACATTTACATAAAGTGAAAATCATGTTTAGCTCTCCAAAGAAAGAAAACATTTTTTCCAGAGGTGCTACAAAAACACTTTACATTATCTTTTAATATAGGAATTGAAATGGGTGTAGTCTTTACATGGTCAGAAAAATAAACATATCAAGATAATGATGATCTTTTCACATACCCAGGAGCCAGTTTTGACAAGAAATAGAACCCTACCATACTCCAAGCACCAGGGATTACATCTCCTGCCAGTTCTCTATGATAAAGACCAGAGAAAAATGACTTTTATATCCCAACAGTAGCATATCAGCATAAACCTCAATCAGATTTCACTTCCAGTACAGACATTCCCCCATTATCAGGTGCAGCGATCTTGCAAACCTCTCCTTTAAAGCGCCACCGTCTTCAAGAAGACAAACAGTTACTCACAGTCATGGCTGACACGACACCCACATGGCTGAAATTATGTGTCATGCAAGGAGATAGCATTTACCAGATTTTGTTTATGAGGGCTGCTATTTTAAACGCATCACTCTCAAATAATCCAGCTGCTGAACTAAATTGGTTATCTTGCAAAGGAATTGCATTTATTAGATACTGGTAATGGATTTTGTTATCTCAATGCCATACATTGGTCAAAATTTGCAAAAGTTGCAAATATTCATGCTTCCTTATAGTGAGTGAGTGAGTTTTGTTTTACGCCGCTTTTAGCAATATTCCAGCAATATCACAGCGGGGGACACCAGAAATGGGCTTCACACATTGTACCCATGTGGGGAATCGAACCCAGGTCTTCGCATGATGAGCAAACACATTGACAACTAGACTACCCCACTGCCTCTGCTTCTTTACAAATATCATCGTCGAGCATGTACTTAATGAAGGAGTCACAGTCATTGTTTAGATTTGGCGCATGCCTGGAGTTTGAACGTTGAGACTGATTCAGAACTTAACATATTAAAGAATTTAAATTTGTATTATTTTGTTACTTTCAAACTTTTTCAGGAGACGATGGGATAGCCTAGGGGTTAAAGTGTTTGCTCTTCATGCTGAAAACCTGGGTTTGATTCCACAAATGGGTACACCACCACCATCCATCATCATCATCATTGCCATCGTTGCCATCAACATCAGCAGCAGCAGCAACATCACCATCATCGTCATCATCATCATCATCATCAACACCATCATTGTCATCATCACCATCATCATCATAACCACCATCATCATTATGGACAACAGCAGCATGAACAATAATTTCTTACTAACTATAAACTGCTCAAGCCTCAGTGCCTCTTCTGTAACTGATCAAATCAGTTATAACAATCCCCTAACCATATACAATCGACCAGTCATTTCCAAAGAAAATGTCAAGCTGACATGCATTTCTTCCCTGGAAAGTAATTTGCGGCTCTCCAGAACATCATTTGTGTTCCATCCTATAAATCTAAACATGGCCGTGTCATCGAGAAAACAATACATCAACACATTAATTTCCCTGTGTAGCAGCTAAAACCTACAAACAGACAGCATTACAATCACTAAATCAACCCCGCTGTGGCCCATTACATTCAATTAACATGAAAACACCTTAAAGCCTGTCCATTAAAACACCTTGGGCGTAGCACTGTAGCACTTAACATTCAGCAGGAAGATAGTACATTACTCTGTTGCCTTGTTTACAGCCTTGCCAATACGTTTTCTTGTGTTATGGATTATCCATGTTATTAATGAAAATTAAAAAATATATTTTGTAAGGGTTCATGGAGATTATTTTATCTTTTTATGAAATATTAAATTTGTTAAAAAGATATTAATTGTCTTTAATTAAATCACTGGAATTGATACACAGATTGTCCCATTGATTGTTTTTCAACTGACTTGATGACAATCATAAAAATTAAGTTCATTTAAAAATGGTCCCTCAACTTCATTTGAAACCTAATTTCCTTACACAATATTGTCTATTCAAATTCTTGGGAATTTAGAAACTCATACAAAGTTGAATTTGTCCAACACAGAGGGTAACTGTGATTCAGAGGTTTACTGATTAGAAAATATACAAAACCTGATTCATTTTGTGAAAGATGAGGAGACAATATAGAAGCATGATCTCCCTCAACCTGAGAACTGTCTACAAAGCTTAGAGCTCTCAACAAGGACCACTGTGTACTAAGTAAACACTTCAATTTGATCACCGAGAAATACTTCTGGAAACTGAGTTTAATAACATCATTTATAAGAATCTCATGAAGTAAGCACGTTCTGAGACCAATATAAAACAGCTTCCTGAGAAAACTTCTTCAGGAAATACATGACACATTTTCTTCAGAAACAAAAAGTAATTGCTAATACAGACAGTTGGGGCTCTCTAGAATCGATAAAGACTGTTTCATTTTTCACACAACATCCCTGGTTTTATTTTTTCATCAAATCAAATTAGCAATGACAAAAATGTTCAAAATCTCCAAAACGAAACAGCTTTGTTTCAGAAATTGTTAATTTTCAAAGCTTCTGTCACAAGGATTTAATATAGACTTTTCCAAATATATATCTGATGAAAATATAAGATCCAACTGTAGCCACAAACTATGCATTATTTTAGCAGACTGAGGCACTCTAGACTTGCCAATTGCATATGTGGGAAACTTGGAATTATTACAAGAAATGGGGTTTAACGTCACACTTAAGAATATTTCGCTCATATGACACCGTGTGCATGCGTGTGTATGTGTGGCTGTTTGTACTAGCCCAGACTTAAGCTCGTTTTATAGTGCTAGCCCACTGAGATACCATGCCACAGTTAAGCATGAATACCCCACTCAGACACATTATACTGACTCCGAGCCAACCAGTCCTTGTTGTACCCATTAATGCCGAGCGCCAGACAGGGACCAACAAGTACCATATTTTAAACGTCTTTTGGTATGATGTGGCCGGGGATCGAACCTGTGACTATCCACTCTCCGGGCGGACCCTCTAACCACTACACCACGGAGGCAGTCTATTACAAGAAAAATACATTTACTTCTCATAGTATGTTGCTGGGAACAATGATAATAAAACATGTCCATCAACTTGGTTAGAAAAAACAGTTGCAGATGGTCGAAAGACTATTACGCATGGGAAATCACTAAAGTTTCACACAAACCTTTTACAATCATTAACTTTGGAAATCCTTTTTATCATATTTGATTGATTTCATTTTTGG